GTGAGAAAGCAAGCCGCCAGGTCTGGGACACAAACCACAGTCAGCCATGTGGAAGTCCAGCACCCTTGACCACCATGCCACCTGCCAGCCCCAGCAGCACCTTCTTTTTTAAAAAAAAGGTTTGTTTTTATTTATTGTTATTTTTAAAAAATTAATTAATTAATTTAACATTCACTCACTGAACATCATCACAGCATACAAAATGTGATTTCCTATCCAGAATGCAGTAGCACAGTAGCTTAATCATACATGTTATCATCAATAATTTTCCATTTCTAGTTTCATATATATATTTCCCCCTATTTCTCATCCCCTGCCATTTCCCACTCTCTTCCCATACTAACTCTGGTGTCTTCAGTTGCTTTCCATTCCTTTTTTGTTTTCCCACATTTTATTGATTCACAAAATATCTTCAATAATCTAATTACTTTCAATAGCAATTTCAGTTGATATATACATATCTGTGAATACATGTCTGACTTTAGGCATGAAATTCTGAGTAGAACGAATACACTATAAAATAGCACCTACTTGATGCTATATAGCCTACTGTCATTAAATAGGTATTTTAAAATATATTTTTTAATTTCAAGAAAAGAAGTTTTAGCTTTAATAAATCAAAATCGAAGAAATGCTAAGAGAGCTTTGCTTAAAGCTTAAAGCCAGGAAACAGGTTAGGATTCTGTTCAAATAGTAAGTACATGAATCTAGTGGCTGATCAAGACAAGACAAAAATTCTTAAATCAGGAAAACAAAGCCTAGAAGAAAATCAGCCATATTTTAGTCAAAAGTCATAAAATGCTATTTCACCAGTTCAGTCTCATGTACTTAATCTATCTTCTGTTGTGGTTCGATCTTCCCAATTCGATTCTGGGATCTAATATTCAACTTCAGACCTGTCCCTAAGATTCTATTTCACCAGTTCAGCCTTATGTACTTAATCTATCTTCTGTTGTAGTCCAATCTTCCCAATTAAATTCTGGGATGTAAAATTTAACTCCAGACTTGTCCCTACCATTAAATTGGCCATTTTCTTAGTTGTTTTTGAACTCTTATTTCTGTGTGTCTGTATTTAGTTTCCCGGTATAGCACTCCCTTCAGAACTTCTTGGAGAGCTGGTCTGGTGTTGGTAAATTCTTTCAGGTTTTGTTTATCTGAGAATATCCTTGTCTTTTTTTCCCATATGAAGGATAATCTTGTTGGGTACAGTATTCTTGGTTGAAATTGCTTTTCCTTTCACATTTTGAATATATTTTTCTTTCCTTGCTTGCATTATTTTCAATGAGAGATCTGCTGTTAGCTTGATGGGATATCCTTTGTAGGTAACTTGCCGTTTTTCTCTTGCCAATCTTAGTATCTTGTCTTTGTCTGTGGTTTGGTCAACCTGGCTATAATGTGTCTTGGAGAAGATCTTCTTGGGTTGATTCTATTTGGGGTCCTTTGCTTTTCTTGGAAATGTATCTTTGAGTGCCTCTCTAGGTTTAGAAAGTTTTATCCCAGGATTTCATGAAATAGATTATCAATGCCCTTATGAGTCTCTTCACCTTCTGGGATATCAATTATCCAGATCTTTGGACGTTTGATGGTATCTAGTATTTCTCTTACATTATTTTCATTTTGGGGGAAATTTTCTCAGTCTTTCTGGTGGATTTTTCTAGGCCAGCTATTCTATCTTCTACATCTGAGATTCGATTTTCTGTATGATCTAGTCCCAGCAGCACCATTCTTAAGAATTAAAAACTAGAGGGACCAGCAGTTAGCATAATGGCTATGTCGCTGGACTCCCACGTAGTCAACCACAGTTCGCGTCCTGAACCCAGTGGCTTAAAACTCACGCCGGGCGCATGTGCGCGCGTGCCCAAGATCCTGAGAGGAGAACAGAGGAGAAGGGATTGTGGCATGGCCATCTCCCCTGGGGGGGATTTCTCGCTTTCTATCTCTCTGTCTCTGTCTGGCAAACTCACGTGCCCTATAGCAAAAACCTCTCAAAAAAAAAAAAAAAAAGAATTAAAAACTAGAAACAGTCTAGACAAGCAAGAATAAGAAAATAAAGTGTAATGCTACATGAGGCTGGCAGGTGGCATGGTGGTTAAGGTGATCCTATATGACTGACCAGGGTTTGAGTCCCAGATTTGATGCCTTGCTTTCTCACTTTCCCTTTCTCTGTCTCTCTCTGGTCCAATTAAAAATAGTAATAAATTAAATTAAATAAGTCTTTAAAAATGTTTAAATGTCATGCTACATTTATTAATGTTATCATTAAAAACATAATTTTGAAGAATGGTTATTGTCATTGGGGGAAATTCTCACAATGTAACATAGAGTGAGGGAAAAAAGAACGGCATCTAGAGACAGCAATGGCCTCTGCAGGTTGGGATTTGAGAAATCGGACTGTTACAGTTTGTATATGTGTCCCCAGACCCCAAATTCATGTGTTGCACTACTGCGGCGGGATTAAGAGGGTGAAACTTGATTCAAGTGTGGTATGGAAAGGTGGGGGCCTTTGGGAAGAGATTAGGATTAAGATCATTAGTAAGGGGTTCTGGTGGGTTTATAGGGAGAGGCCAGAACACAGAGAGGGTCGTGGACAGCTGCTCTGCTCTCACCCTCATGATGTGATCAAGACTCTGCAAGATACCTGTTAGATATGGTCCCCAGACTTTGGCCCTCCAAACTGTGACCTGAACAAAGCTCTCATTTTTCTGGTCCCTGCGTTTTTTTTTTTTTTTGTTTTTGTTTTTTTTTAATTTTTTTTTTTTTTTGCTATAGGGTGCATGTGCTCACTAGATAAGAGAAAAAGAGAGAAAGGGAGAAGAAGGCACTCCCCAAGGGGCGGGGGGTGGCTACACCAGAGCTCCTTCTCTTCCATTCTCCTTTTGGGATTTTTGTGCATGTGTGCACATGTACCTGGCGTGTCTTTCAAGTTGCCAGTCTGGACCCGAACTGTGCAGTTGACCATGTGGGATCCAGTTGCCTTAACTACTATGCCTCAGGTTAGTCCATAAACCTCTATTCTCTTTGTAAAGAATTATTTTTTAAACTTTATTTATTTATTTATTTTTATTTGACCAGAGAGGGACAGGGTGAGAGAGAGAGAGAGGAAAAATGAGAAATCAAGCCGTCAGGTCCAGGATTCGAACCACAGTGGGCCACATGGGAGTCCAGTGCCCTTAACCAACACACCACCTGCCAGCCCCATAAATCTCTATTTTTTAAATTTAACTTTTTTTGTCCATTTGTTTATTCATTTAAATTTGACCAGAGAGAGAGACTGAGAAAGTAAGCCACCAGGTCTGGGACTCAAACCACCATCAGCCATGTGGGAATCTAGTGCCCTTAGCCACCAAGCTACCTGCCACCCCACCCATAAACCTCTATTTTTATAAATTACCATCTCATTTATTTCTGTTTAGCAACACAATGGCAGGCTAAGACAGGGACCCTTCCTATTTTCCATTCTCCTTTCTAATGAGTAATAATAAAGGTACTGGCTATACTTCTAGCAATAATTGAATGATTACTGCGGGCATTGTTCTAAGTTTTTGTTATTTGTTTTCTTAGACAGGGTCTCACTATATTATGATCCTCTTGCATCAGCCTCCCCAGTAGCTCAAACTATAGGCCTATGCGATGACAGGTCCAGCCTTTAGAGTGGTGGGAATAGAACTCAGGCCTCCTGTGAGGCCTTAGCCTCTAGGACTGTAGCATCTACTAGCAGGTGCCGCTGAGGCTGGGCCTGCTCCAAATGCCTTGTGATTATTTTCTCAGTCTTCACAATAACCTGCAGAGGTTAAGCATAATCCCCCCCCCCAGGGCATATGAGCTCACCAGAAAGAGATAGCGAGCTAGAGAGGAAGAGGGAGAAAGCATGGCCCAGTGGGGCATGGTCATGCCACAACCCTCTATTTCACCATCCTGTCAAGATTTGGGACACACACACACATACATACCCAGAATGTTTTTAAGACTCTAGAGCCAGGATTTGAATCACTCTTGTCCTCATGGGATCCAACCCCCTTAACCACTAGACCACAGGGCCAGCTCTCAAGTATAGTTTTCCTCCCTCCTTTACAAGAAAATGGAAGCACCGAGAGGTCATTCAACTTGCCCAACGTAGAGCCAGGATCCGAGTATGGAATTTTGAACCCAGAGTCGTGTTCTCTGAACTACTACAATGCAGGGTCTCGGGTTATCTAAGTATTTGCCAGTTACTTGTAGTATTGTGTTGTAAGTTAAGAAACTGATCCCTCCTTTGCCCTGATGGTTCCCTGGACTGAAAAAGCTCTTCCCTATCTACACAGCTCCCTGACCTCCATCAAGTCCCTGCTTGTCACCTTCAGGGTGAGTCGGACCCTGACCACTCAGTTCAAGTTGCAAACTGCCCTTCCTGGGTCTCCCCCTACTGTGTTTTCCCCGCAGTATTATCTCCGTTTTCAGTAGTATTATCTCCATTTTCAGTAGTATTATCTCCGTTTTCAGTAGTATATCACAGTTTTCAGGGTCACCATATTACTTGGCTCTCTTCCCTCTCCCAAGATGTGAACTCCAACAGGACAGTGTTTATCTGTCGTGCCAAACGAAGTGTCACACCCTAGCAAGGCCCTGGTACAAACTAAGAGCTCAAATAGATGAAGTGCTTAAAACATACCATGATTCAACTTTGCTTTCTTATTTTAAAGTACAAACACGTATACTTGAGAGGGGATTATTTCAAAATATTTATGGTGATTTGGGGTGATTTTCCCCCTTCTTTATGTTTTCCTGTGGTTTTATTCCCAAAATTCTGTGTGAAAATGTATGATCATGAGAAAATTGCTTTTTAAAACGTCTCTTCTAAACCTCCAGCAACATCACATTGCCACGCACAGCGAATTGTTTTCGCTGCGCATTGCATGAAGCTGTTTTCCTGTAAAAAACGCAATAGAAAATTAGGGAGAGATTGATGGTCTTTTAAAAATGTATTGCTTTAAGATCATCACCCGGCATTCTGTGGTGGTTAAATGTTTCTTCAAGGAATAAGAATCCGTGCCTCGCCAGTCAACCGCTGCATCCCCAGGGAACACACCCACCTAGCAACCCCGAGCCAAGCTGCAGCGTGTCGCTACGCCTTTAATTCTGGGGTTGGGGCGGGAGGGGCGGTGGAGAATTTCCGCTCCCCCATTCTGTCCGCGGCGCCGGTGGCAGCTGTCACCTGTAAGGCGAGCACCGCGAGCGAGCGGGGGATGGATCCCAGCGCCCATTGGACAGAACATAAAGACAGAAACCTACCCCGAGGGCTGGGGGCCCGGCGGGGCGCTGGCGGTGGGCGCTCGCCACCCCCAGCGCCCTTCGCCCGGAGACACCCTGGCCCGGTGGCGTGGGTGTGACCGAGGTCCAGCTTGGAGGACACGCCCGTCCCGCCCGTGAAAACGATCAGGTGAGCGCGACT